GTTACAAGATGCAAGACAAACACGGTTGTGTTTTACACGTTTGCAAGAGGTGCATACAAAGGTGAACTGTGAATCAGTGAGAAAGTTCAGGGATAAGCTAAATGTGAAATCTAGTTCTGACTCCGAATTGTGTGACGATAACGGTGTGGTCAAGAAATCTGTAGTTGCAACTGGTAAGCCATTGTTGAATAGTATGCCACAGAAGAGAGTTACAGTCTCAGAGGACAGTTCTGACTCCACAAGTTTACAAGGTGTTGCTAGTCACAGTGAAGGTATAAAACCTTTTAGGAGGAGGAGCCAAAATTGTCTACTTCTGTTACTAAAGAGTTTGAAAATGATGAAGTTGACGGTATAGTTAATATTCGTGATAATGATCATGATAGTGCAGATTTGTCTTTGGTTGATCATGATGAAATGAGGGGAATGTCTAATTCTGCTATGTTAAATAAAGTTTCTGTACAACTACAACGTGAAGTTGAATTGAATGCAGATGCAGTTGCAGAAGGTATGGATACTTGTGAGACCGTCATTGTAATTGATCAGCGTGTAGCCACCTATAATCAGGTGATAGTGCTAAACCCAAACTAGTAGTGAAAGACAGCAGTGGTGGTAATATTGCAGGTAGACAATTATCTGAATGCCGAGCAACAACAGCTTCTGATCCACCGCTAAGTTCATCAACTGGTATCAATCAGTCGTCGTTGGTGTTGTCATCCACAATGAAACAGACGTTCATCAACTCAAGTATCTTGTGCAATGACTATGATAGTATTGGTGCGTTGGAAAAGACGAAAGATATTGCTCAGTTTATTGAGAATAAGCCAAGTGTAAACGAGAGAGTAATTGTTATATTGACTTGCATGAATAAAGGCATTTCTAGTTTCAAGTTACTATTTGAATGCTATTATCTTTGGTGTAAATTGCTCTGTGCCTACGCTTGGTTGGGCAGATATATCGTGTGTTTGTTTGTCATCCATGTTCTACGATACAATGACATAGGCGTGTTGCCGTTGAGATTTGAGGATATAGCTCGTAGAAGGAAGTTAGCAAATGAACTCTGCGACGATTTTCCAACCTAGGGCGTCAACCTGAGAAGGGTTGTAGGCGTACTGCTGTACGTCCTACAATTCTTCAAAGGGTAGCGCATCAATGAGCAGTCCAATGTGCTTGGTGTGTGATTTTGTACATACGTTGATATTGTATATACTGAATTGATATCATCTGTCATCTAGCTGTTGGTAATACTGTCTGTGTCCGGACGACTTCCACTTGTATCATCAACCTGAGAAGGAATGTAGGCGTACTGCTTTAAGTCCTACAGTTCTTCAAGGGTAGTTCTTCATGGCAGAATCCACAACATTGTATGTGTTGATTGTACACAGGTTTGTGTTAAATAATTGTGTGAGTTCCAGTTATTGTAATTGTTGGTTAATCTTGTTTGTGTCCGGATATTCCACAACTTACAATCGTCAACCTGTGAAGGGTTGTAGGCGTACTGGTGTAAGTCCTGCAAATCTTCGAAGGAATGCCATCAAGACATGATCCGCGAGTTTGTGTCTACTGTTTGTAAATATGTGTTGTGTGTCTTCTCAATTTGTGATTTTGGATTCATTGTGTTTACTCGTTGTTTTCGTACCTTGTTGTTATTGCGTAATTTTGTTAAAATTTTCGTCTTGATTACTTCTGAAGTTGTTTCTAGTCTTCTACATCCGTGAATGAATTGGTTGATGTTAGAGACAGCAGATGGTTCGTATACGCCAAGGAGGCTATTGGTGAGAATGAAATGCACACGGAGATAATTGTTAGGTGCGGTCCCACACGCCGGGGAGCGGGAGTGTAAACGACTGAGGCTCGCATGAGTCACCGCTGCTAGAACTGAGGCAGATTGAGTGACAAGCGATTGCAGTGGCAGTTGGTAGTGAGTAGATAAGGGGATGTGCGTAGAGTATCGTGAGGTGGTGCTATGGTCACGTAGCATTCTGCAAGAGTCATTCTAGCAAGTGGAGACTGTGTTGCAATATGTCAAGAGGAGGTCTCTTTCTGGAGGCGCAGGTCGTCATTGATGTGTGACATTGTGCTGTGGGTATGCTTGTGGTGTGTTGGCTTTTCTGTTTGTTTTCCATTTCAGCTCTGTCCGTGTGACCGAGGTTCTCGCAATGGCCTGGAAGTCAACGTGTATTAGTCGTGATGGAAAAAAAGGGATGGATCCATTTTTTCACGGGGAGTGTCAATGTAGTTGAATACTGAATAATCAATTCTTGGTTGTTTGCTGAAAACCAACCTCCTCAGTTTTCGCGGAGGCATCAATATTACAGTCATCGTCTCATCGGTCGCTGTTCAGAAAGAAGTCAGCAGAAAACCGTCAGAAGTAATATTGTGATTTATTATTGTAATATTTGTTCAGAGACCTTAGTTGTAACATTGATTATATGTTGGTGTTAGAATAAATGTTTCTCGAGTCACCAAACTGGGTTCTGGCTTTTGCGTCTGTTCGTAGTAAGCGTTTCTGAGAATTTTCGAGGAACAGCATGAGTCCCAGCGGAGCAAGAGCTGGGCATTACCGGTTTACATGATGTGGCTGACAACTTTTATATCTTGGTCATTCAGTTTTTGAGTGTCGAAATTTGCTGCTCTTCTGTACCAGATAGTATTCTGAGCCAATATCTGTTCCTCTTCTTACTTTTGTATCCAGTAGGCTGCGCCTGCACTTCCTTGAAGTGTATTGAAATGAAGTCAATTTGGGTTTTGTTTCTACCATCTGGTGACACCCATGTAGCCTTGTGGATATCTTTGTGTTTGTATACGCTTCCGCCAATCACTAGTTATTTGAAGGCGCAGAAGTCGGCGGAGAGTTCTTCATTTTCATTCATCTCTCCGAGAGCTTCTCTACTCGTGATGAGTTCCCTTCCTGTGTTGTCTGGTCCCAGTTTGGCGTTCATGTCTCCCATTAGTATTTTAATGTCACCAGCTGGAGTATTGTCCATTGTTGCCTGCAGTCGTCTGTAGTATTCTAATTTCTTTCCGAGGTCAGCGTTGTTTGTGGGTGCATAACACTGTACAATTGACACTTTCCTTGCTTTGGAGTTGAATCTGGCGGCCATAATCCTGGGTGAGATTGCCTCCCATTGCATGAGGGCCTTTGTTGCCATCGGTGACATCATGATAGCCACGCCCTCGGTGTGCATGTGGTTATCTTCTGGGTGACCGCAGTAGATCACTGACTCACCCGTTAACAGTTCGGTGAGTCCATTCCTGTTCCATGTGCTTTCACATATTCCCAGTACTCGGATTCCGTATCTTTTCATCTCGTTTGCGATCTGGGCAGCTTTCCCAATCTCGTACATAGTGCGGACGTTCCATGTCCGCACACAGACTCTTTGTTTTGGCGCAAACAGATTCATCGTGCTGAAATTTCTGTAGAAGCTTTGTTTACAGGGTGAGGTTGCTAGCCTCACGCCTGAGAAACGAATTGTTCCATTAAGATAAAGTTTAGAGAGAAGCGACCTTGTGAGTTGCTCCCTTTAAAACCGGAAAACAAGTAATGCAAGGAATAAAACAATCAGAAGAACGCCAGGAAAAGGAAAATAATTCACAGCGAAAGGGCAAAAGGATACAACAACAACACAATACAACAACATGCAATACAGTTAAGCACAGTTAACTAAATTGATACCAGAACCATAGACTCACTGATTTAGGCCAACTTGAACATATAAATCCAACAATACATGCAGTTACAGATATGAGTTTATGTTAAAAATTCACAAAATCCAAACAATTAGTCATAGGTATTAGCTGTCAATAAGATTAAAGCGCAAATACGTAACGTTTTTCATATAATCTCATCTTCTAATAACGTTATCCTAATATCCTGGTCTTCACAAAGCCTTACCGATTTCTAAGAGAATACTTCGTCTCTTTGCATTAAGAACCACGTATTTTATGTGATCAGAATGGTGTCAGGGACGAACTATCTAACCTTATGTGCACTAGTGAATAAACCGTTATCCCATCCTCATCCTATCAAGCTTTACTGTTATTATTCTTATGTTTATAATCCCCTCTCGAATATTTCTGACTTAGCACAGTAACTGTGTACAAATTCCTGTGGTTAAATATTACTTTAAGTAATTCAGATGCAATATTGTGGCAAACGAATAAAAGTACATAATAAATTTGTATAAAACATTTGTTTGTAGACTTCTACTCTTCTTACTTTAATTGCCAAACAATATAACTTGCTTCTTACAATACTGGTGTTTTGGAGTTAAAGTTGAAGAAAGTACATGGTATTTATCGGCACGTCTTCGTAACAATAGGATCCTTGACGGTGTGCTTATGACTTCGAGATATCATATTGTGCCATGAGGCGAAAGCTATGTCCATAGCGTTATAAATGTCCGATGCGCGAAATTAATCCAAAACACAATGACTATTATTCTCATTCACAGAACATTCTACTTTGCTAAATAATCATCCTATCGTAGCAACGGATGTTTCGCCAAGAAAAAGAAGACCACCGGTTTCATATAAATTTAATGAGTGATTTTTAAACTACACGGACATCTGTATCTATAGCCACGGAGACGCCACAGCTTCGAGAAAACCGCCGATTGTGGACCACAACCCGAAACATTATTCTTGTTAATTAAAGTCTTACCTTTAACACTCACCAGATCATACGTTATCCATTCTCCAGTTGTTTTTCAACACACTGAATGGCTGCTAACTACAGGCAGTCCTGGTTTCGGACCAGTGGATGAAAGTACCAACTGAATTCACAGTAGCGACACGGTCTGAATGCACCAAGTACAACAACCCATATACCACCAATTTGAGCATCACTGCAGTTGAAGTCAATCACAGCTACGACTGCCGAGTGCCAGAATGAGCTACATGGAAGTTAACATGGCACGTTTACCTCACAATCAAGAACCGAGAGCAGAGATTTTAATTTTGTAATTACTAGTTGGATATTGAATATTAGACCGCGCGAGAGTTGCGTCTTGCGTTACGGCTCGGACTGTGAGGAGGCTACAGTCAGTTTCTAGGTCATGATGAGTTCCTGCGTCGGCCAGTTATATGTTTTCGTGAATTCGTTTTCCATTGAATTTTAAAGGTTTTTCTGGATGTTTTGCTCATTTTGCAGTGTGTAGGTCAGTTTTTGTCACTGAGTGCTACTATTTAGCTTATTTTTAGCCTGAAGTTCACAGTTATTATGTTGGTAGTCCAAGATCTTGGACTAATAATCGATTATTGTAAACCTGCAATCATTGAGCTAATTAACGTATACTCGGCTAATATAGTAACATAGACTATGCTAATAATAGTAACATTAAACTCCCTTACTGTTTTGCCATTGCAAAGCTAGCATTTTTTTCGTGCGCATTGCAGACTTTTTGGGGCAAAACCTTCGTGTAGATCTACTTACGTGGGACAGTGTCCCGAAGTTTGCCCCAAAAAGTCTGCAATTTGCCCAAGTCCACCCAAAAGTCTGCAGTGCACCCGAAGTATGCCCCCCAAAGTCTGCAATGCGCCCGAAAAAAATGCTAGCTGGGTGTTTCACAGTGAACCTGTGCGCTGATTTTCCAGCATGAGTGGCACTAAATCGAACCTACTGGGTTTGCTTATCAACGTTGTTCCAGCCCTCACAGGACATAGTAAGCATGGACTAGCGTTACTCCCGAGTGGAAAGTTTTGATCCAGTACGCATGCTGTAGCTGTCTTTTTAAGCACGACCTGTGTCATTTCAGAACATGGTGGGTAAATATGATCTTCAGTTACCATAAAAAGGCATTATCGAGGAATAGGTTAGAAAAAATTTAGAAGTGTTTTAAGCTTGGTGGTGCTGCGGTCCAAGTGATAAATCGTATTAATCACCGTTATTCAGGATATGCTATGAACCGGAAATCCTCAGCTGAAAAACGTATAAATAAGACACAGATCGGTGTAATTTATAACAGACTCCAAATTGCTTTCATCACGAAACAATCAACCAAAGTATGCTTTAAACTGTTGCTCTCAGCCGTTTGAAGGGAAATTTACTTAATCCCAAAGGTCATTGAATCGACAACTTAAAAAAGTAGATTAGTTAATACATACATTTATCTATATGTACTAATTAAGGATACACTAAATTTTTAGAAATTGCAGTTGAATTTTATTCGCCTAGTAATCAAAAATGCACACATCCTATTTTGGACTTAAAATAAATGCATCGAAATTATTGTTAGTTTATATTCAGTTACTAGGCATTCTCATACATCTTAATGTACTTTAAACACCACCAATGCATCCAAATAACGTGTGACTATCACACTACACTCATACCAAAAAAATTAACACGCCATTATATAATGGTAAGGTAAGCCTTAAATCATACTGACTGTAAATTTCCGTGTCAAAATAAAAAGATTGCCGCTTTAACCTATATTTTAGACCAATAGGAAGCCAGCTAACCAACAGCCAATCAAAATCTGCCTATATCTATTTTCACTGAGTAAGTGGGTTTTTCGTGGTGATCGCCGTGGTATAGAGTCATGAGGAGTTCTGCTAATAATTTCACCGGTTAAGACAGCTGACTGATTTGACGAAAATTCATAGTTTCAGCAATGCCATGCATATATGTGTATGTCGTCGAATTTCTATGAGAAACTATACTTTCGTTCAAGTATAGTAAGAAACAAGCACCACGAAATCTTAGGGTTTATGCGAGCACATCGGAATAAAGCAACAATAAAGAATAGATATCAAAGTGGCTTTTAATCAACCAATAAGATGACTCAGCGTAACACATGGATGGTGTTCATTATCTTCGTTGCAAGTTTCACTCAGATGTTTTATTACCAATAATACGAGAACAGTAAAAAGTAGACACCGGAGCCAAATGACCTTGAATCCGCAAAGTATATTCTTCTAGGTGAAAAATGGCATTTACTTTAAGACATGTTATAAAACCGAATTATACAGGGCTTATATCTCTAATCTACTGTAGCAACTGATCCTATTTATTTATAGGAGTGTCTGCAGACATACCAAACCAATGTTAATACAAAAAGTCCAAGTGGCTGTAACTAATATCGGGGACCATTTACTATTATAATAAGGTGTTTTAGATGAACCCAGAGTCCTTCAATAGAATTTGTACGAGTTCCACTTATGCGACCTACTAATTCAGAAGTATGATTGATTTTAGGATGAATATAGTCTAATGGCAAAGTATGTGCCAACGGTCAAATAATCTTGAACTCACCAACGACATGATATAGGAGACTTTTGCCCATAAAATACATATATTCATGACAATTATGAATTGAAAGGCATGACACTGTTACACAGGATACCCTTCTCTGTCGTGTGACAAAAATACTTAGTTTTGGATTGGAGTACCAACAGAGTAACTTAACCACATTCTATGCATGGAGTGATGTAGGTCTTCTAAACCTAACAATACCCGTAATCTTTCCTTATCCTAACCCTAACGGTGGAATATCTCTAAACTAACCATAATCTAACTCAAAACAATACTAACGTCTCCTATATTGGGTTTAACTAATCCTAGAACTCAATTTCATTTTTCTCGAACCGCAGCTGAAACATCCCAGGTATCTTACTTACAACTACAGTATAATTAACCAGATTTCACTAAGTTTCTCACTGAACGTTTCAAGGCCATCGGTGTGGTCGCACTCTACTGGTACTTACTAGTGCTTAAAGTTCAACCTGGCCCTATGGGGAATAAAATAAGCCATTAGGCTTAGTTTGTTGACCTCTACAAAGCCTGGTCGTAGATGGTCTCAGTATATTCCATTGCGAAATGATGCTAGGTCCTTTGGATACGCTAAAAAGCCCCCTTTGCTAAATGCATAAACTTGTGTGGATTCGAATTATTGTTCTGGGTTTATTAGAGTCAATTTTATGTAGTGCAAAACATTTTAATTCCCTAAGCTCTGTTATAACTATACAGAAAGTGTACGGCACTTGCTAACACATTTGTAAGCTGGTTTAAGTGTCTTCAATTTCTCAAGAGCTACTATGGCTTTTAACTAAAGTGATTAACTTGAAAAATCTTCACCTTCTTATTGTATTTATTTAGAATCATTATTTCTACAAAATGGAATCAAAAGACAATGTGAGTTAATTTCATGCTAATGAATATTCTACTGTTTCTGCTAGCCCCCTAAGCCTTTTGTGTTTCCAGTTATGAAAAAAACCATTGAAGATTTGTTTACAAAGTCGAAAATCACAAAAGATGATATTGAAGCATTTCAAGATAAATACTGGGAACAACTTGTTCCAAATTTTAGTCAAGCATTAAAACTTCTCGATATACATGGAGTGCCAAGACACAATATTCTATGGGTATGTTCTATACACACATTCTTGTTTACCAGTCAAATTTATCCGCTGTAGAGTATAAACGATCGCCTTATGGATGCTATCAAGGCTAGAGTTGATTCAAAACCTGATGATTGTGATCAAAGAAAATGTCAGAAACTATGGCAGAAACTTATCAAAACTGGTATTGTATACATTCATCATCCATATATGCGTTCTTTAATTATGCAGGTAAGCTAGCTAGTTACGGTGTGGAAAATTATTTTTGGAGAGGTAGCCATAGGCTGAGTAGGAGATATCTTTTCCCCTCAACCATTTTATTCTCAATAGTTGTACAACTACACTTTTTCCTACATTTGTGTCCTACAAGTTAGTATAACTATAATTGTTATTCAGCTGGATATAAAAGCAAAGGTGAAATTGAGTGGAAACTAATAATTATTCAGCATAATGTGGGAAAAATCTATTGAAAGTTTTCTTTTCCCTCAGACATTTATTTGCCACTATCCCTTAAGGTCCCGAGTGAAACATGGGGGGGGCTTCAGCAACACATCACCATTTCACCCTGTTCTCTGCAGACCCCCGTTTAGCTGGTCTCACGATTGTCCATAGCTTCTCATTCCCTTTTATATCACCCTCAGACGCTCAACTCGCCATTCACCGTTCAGGTTCCACTCCAGGGCCGGGCGCGGGGTTCCATTCAATGGTCTTCTCAGCATGTGCCTGATCCATTTCCATTTTCTGTTGCATATTCGGTGGGTAATACGTTCTTGTTCGCTTCCTTCCCAGAATTCCTTTGTTGCTTATGCTTTCTGATTGACTATCTGATTTTCAGTATGGAGCAAAGACAGCTGCTGATGAAAGTTTGAAACCTTTTCAAAGTGCTTTTTGTGACGCGCTAAGTCTCTGATCCATATTGTGATAGTATATTTCAGCGTTCATTCGCGTAGTCTTTGACCGTCTTTCAGTTCAAATCAAGCAAGGTGATTTAATTTATCATACTTCTGAGATAAATTAGAGACTTTAGAATCAAAATAAAATTGTTTTCAAGGAGTATGCAAGTCGCGGATAAAATCAAATTGTGAGTATAATTCTCTCCTAGGGTGTCTGCTCTCAATATACATAGCTATCTAGGGACTATGAGGAATTAGTTCTCAAGCGTTTTTATTTTATTAAAAAACTTAATACCTAACGGGCACCAAAACTCCATAGTTTGTGCGATGGCGTATATATATCATTCACTTTTAGCTGCTGCATGTTTCAGGCAGTGTGATAAAGTTCAATGAGGGCGAGGAGTGATCACTCAAAGTTTGGTATCAATTTGTGAAGTCACTAACTAATTGCTGGATTGGATGACTTGGCTTGGATCTTGGGAATGTTAGAAATCAGTCGTTAGGAGCCCTTTGTAATATGTTTTGCTGTGGTTCATTTAATTATAAATGCATTCTTCCGTTGTTGTATTTCAGATTCTGAACACTATTCTGTCCTGTGATCTTCTAACATTACACACTGCTTTTTCAGTCAGTCACTCATTCAGTTATTCACAGTAAATCTGCTGAAACATACATACATGCATACTAATTTATAAGTTATTTCCCAGTTGAATTATTTTAAACAATTTCGATTGGGGCATGTGAATTACTGCGTTTTTATTCTGTACGTCGTGTTGAGGTGGTCAGGTGGTCAGTCTACAGTTCCTAACAAGACTCATACTATCAGTTGATGATTTCGATGCCTTTTTATACATTGATTTGATCACCATTCGTGTTTTCCAACCTTTCATTTCTTGTGTTACCACCTATTATTTACTGTCTCCTTGTCAATGAGTATGTTATGCAATTAGAACAACTTGAGACAACACCAAATAAATTCCATTCTAATCTTGAGCTAAATATCTCTATTATTACGAAGTAGTAATATATATATATATATATATATATATATATATATATACATATATATGATACATATTTATACCAATCTTCCTAGCTTTTTTCGTGGTGCCCGTCAGGGCTGACCACTGTTCTTATTTTCGTTCAGTTTTATCATAAATGTGCTAATGAAATTGGCCCTAACTAATTTTAGCAACTTAAGAATTGATTAATTATTTTTACCGGGGGAAAGTCTTGTCGATTTAAAGTATGCAGATGACATTTTCGTCCTCCATCAGGACGCTGATAAAATAAATACAGTCTTTGGGACATCTTGATTGGAAATTTGTGAATTTTTGGTATACAGAAGACAAGTAGTTCAGCGAAGAGTCTCTTTTCGGCGAATTTTGGTATGTAATTTAGTTCTATCAAATGTAAAATGATCCTACAGGATTGGTCTACATCGAATCCTAGTGTAAAGATAAGAAGAGAAGTGGTAGAGTGTGTTGGGAGGTTGCGTCAGCCCCAACGAACGATTGATTGTTGACGGAATCTTAGCGTGGATATGAAACTTATGTGGGATTTGTCAACTTACGCCATCTCTCGTATATACGTGGTATCCGGCTGCCTATCGATCGATGTCGAGATATGTTTATACTGTGCAGTAGTTCGCTTTGTTCTTTATGCATATGAAACAGCCATTGAAAGTGGAAGATATGAAAAGGTTGAGTGTCTTCAACCAGAGATGTTTGGACTGCATCTACCATGTTAAGTGGTATACTATGGTAGTCAATACTACAAACCATCATCAGTTCAGGAAGACCTGCATGTAGTCGGTTTGAGCCAGCTGCATAGGCAGGTGTAGGCTGCCCAGTTGGTGTCCTCGGAATACTAGGTAGGAATCATTGACTACTGACTAAAGACTGTTGATGATATGGATCAAAACCTTTTTCAATGACACTCTCTGTGATTTCTCGTACCCATTAAAATGTCTTATTTTTTTTTATCTTACTATTCTTCCCTCCTTACATTTCTGTGTATTGTAGTCCTTTTGAATGTATTTTCCTCTCTCTCTCTCTTATCTAGCTCTCTGTGTCACTCAGAGTGTGTTCAATATTTATATAATAATAATCATTATTATGAAAGACATTTTTATCATAACGATGATATACCACCTACCTTTTCTCTTTTTTGCGTAGGTTCTTGGCAAAATGAATTCAATTAAAGAAAGACATGTTAATTTAATTGTTGACAATAAATATTTGTATGATGATGCACCACTACCCGTTCTGCGTCATATTTGGGTTGCACATCCTCACAAGTAAGTCGTCAGCATTCGATTATATATATATATATATATATATATATATATATATATATATATATATATCGCATGCCGAACATCCTGAGGCTGCAGCTCAAGGTGCTCAAAAGACTCTACATTATGTCAGCGTCCTCGCCTAGAAGGGCCGTATCATCTGCATATTCTAAGTTGACGAGATTTTTCGCTGATCTGTCTGGCTGTTTTCGACATGGAACTTTGCTTATATGTGCGGCAGTTCAAGTCGCCACACTCCGTGAAACCCACAAAGCAAGAGAAGAAAGTGGAGGAAATGCATAATAGATACAGTAAACAGAGGTGTGAGACAAAGGAATAGTAATAACGAAGAACTATATAGTTTCATTGGAAATCATAAGTCACAAGGAGTGAATGCATCTGTGCTAGCCATTGGTTTTTAGCGTCCCGAGGACCCCAACCCGGAAGTCTACACCTTCCTACATGGCTTAGAGTACATTTCATTGACTGGTGCCATGTTTTGGTTTGACCGCTGCTAGCTCTTTTCCAGCCTGACCCTATATCAGCTAACATTTCCCGTCGAGGAATGCGATGACTAGGCATGCGCAACACATGCCCTAACCGTCTCAGTCGATGTAGCTTCACAGCCTCGTCGATTGATTTCCCCTCCCACCTACCTAGCACTCGACCAATGCCTAACCTCAATAATGCTCACCTTATTATACCACTTCACACGGGAGATAGAACGCAGGCACCTATGATCGAAGACAGTTAGTGTTTTCATGTCTTCCACTCTCAATGGTCAGGTCTCACAGCCATAAAGGAGGACGGAGCGGACTGCTGAGCAGTACACCCGCCCTTTGATCGATAGCCAGCCGGATATCACGTCTACGCCAGAGACGGCGTAAACTTGCACATGCGAAGCTAGCCGTCTGTATCCGTGCTGCGATTTCGTCAGAGATCAACTCGTTGGTGTTGGCTGATGGTACTTTCCAAGTAAGTGAAGCGGTCAACCAGCTCTAACACTTCACACCCTATTTCTAAACTAGGAGTCAGGGTAGCCCAGTCCTGTAACATCATCTTACATTTGTCCGGAGCGAATTGCATGGCAAGCATTTGCAGATTGCAGTTTAAGGTGTTCAGAAGACTCTGCATTTTGTCAACGTCTGCACCTAGATGGTGGACTATATTATCTAAATATTCTAAGTCAATGAGATTATTCCCTGGTAGCAAGTCAATCCTTGTGTCTCTGAAGTGAGTTAGGGTTAAGTCCATCAGTATATCTATGATGAGATTGAATAGAAATGGGGATAGTAAGCATCCCTGTTGGACATCACTAGTTGTCACCAGTTCGAATGACAACTCACCGTAAGCTCTCACCTGGCTGCATGAATTCGAGTAGAGTGTTTTGATCAGTACAGTGTATTTCCTCGGCACTCCCTTTACAGCCAGATTACCTCTCGGTTGACAGAATCGAATGCCGCCTTTAGGTCAAGAAATATAAACGATCTCTGACTCGTCCGTTTTGCCCGTAGTTGGAAATAATGCTGCCTAACCAGATCAGTGAAAGGAGTGATGTGTTTCAAATTTCTCCTCTTGGTAGTGATTGGTGCTGGTTGTTACTAGTAGAGGGGGTATCTTCATCACCCCTATCTTTTCTATTTTGCTTTTTAAGGTCTTATCTTCTCTGCTGTGCTTCCTGCAACTTGTTGGTTTTCCCCAGTTTATGTGACATTAATTTTATCTTATTCCACCTTTCTCGTCCGACATCCAGTATCGTTTCTACGAGCTAGTATAAACTGATTTGATTTGTTTGTGCTCGCCTCTTGATTGTGAGGTATAGGTTCCTGATCTTCGGCAAACTTCTGCGTAGCTCGTCCCGCTACTCGACTGGTTGGTCCAGAAGAAGTAGGGCTAGGTTTAATTATGTGTGTTTTGTAGTATGAGGTGTGTTAAGACTGTTACTACTGTGAATGGAGTTGATCCTTTCACCATTTAGTCCTGCGGTATCGTCGTCAAAAGGAAAGAGATGATAATAATAGATATAATCAATGGAAATATTCAGACTAACACACAGAAAAAGAAATAAGAAAACATAATAGCAGTCAGCTGATTAAATTTAAAGAATAATATGAATTATATATATCGGTAATAGTAATAATAATAATAATAAGTATAGTTAAAGTTGTCATGAGAGTATGACAGGAGAGAATGTAAACAAGTAAAACGACGAACTTAGTTGTCTACCTCTGAATAGTGTATACGATTTTGAGGGGATAGGCCATTCGGACGCAGTTCTTGTGTTGTTGCATGATTGTCCAGCCTTCGCTTAAAGGCGTCCACAGACGGTGCCATAGCTACATCTGCCGGTAAGGAATTCCGGGGACGGCAAACCCGCAGTGAAAAGAACTGGGAGTGCACCCGGGTCCTTGCCCTCTGGTGGGCTATCCTTCTGGGGTTTACACGCGGAAACCCATACCTACTCAGTGCCAGAACGGCTTTGTTTGGGTGATTCTGGTCATTTGTTATTTTGTAGGCAGTAATCAAATCCCCCCTGAGACGATAGTAGCTAAGTGTGAATAGGCCTAATTTCTTTAGCCTATCATCATATGGTTTATTTCGGAGACCAACCACTCCCTTTGTTGCCCGTCTTTGGACTCTTTCCAAGAGGTCGTCATTCTACTGCATTATTGTTCTTTTGTCAATTCAATTGATGTTTTGTTTGGTTGCTTAGATACAAACCGATAAAACTAGCTTACTCTTTTCGTTTGTCTAAAAAATCATACCTCTCCTTATGGGTTTCTTTCTTCCTTGTAATAGATTTCAAGAAGAATTGGATAAAGTTGTGGCAACATTTCAGTCGACATGGTCTTCTGCTATTCTAGATGCTCTTTCAATGTCAATTATGTCAACGGCAACGACTACAGCTGATCTTGTCCCCATTCTGTATTGGCCACCACGTCGGCGTAGACGTGATCCATCCATTGTAAGAATTGTTGAAATGATTGGAGAAGGTCAAGTCTTATATGATAAGGTAAGCCCGATACGAAGTGAAGGTTGGTCGTGATGGTAGGCGTGGCAATCCCACCAACGCCCCCCCTCCCGGAAACGAAAAATAAACACCATCACTATTGAAACATCTGAGTGTTGCCGTGACATCACCATCAAACGACACTACAGTCATCCACTTGAATGGTTTCGATCTTCTGTAAAAAATTGGTTTGGTGGCCAATTAATAGATTAGCCGCGCATGATTCTGCTGTTAGATATTTTATTTTTCTGAAAAGTTATTTCACCAGATTATATTTAGGTGTTTCTAGTATCGAACAATAAACTAGGTTATTTGGGATATTTAAAACCTGTAAACTAATTAATAATAATAATCTACTTTATTCCAAAAACAGTACTTATAATCCAGAATGGAATTCTCAGCATTTGTCACAATATTCCATCTGATTTACTTAAAATATAAATAAAATTAAAGAATAAAACAAAAGTAACCAGAGGAATTTGTCCACGTTTACGATATAACGTCAAAAATATTCGAAGCATGAATTGAGAATATTAAATATAATAATAACAATAATAATAACAGTGAGTTAGTTTCAAACAGTATTGTCGATTCAGTTAAGAAATTTTAGCATGTTATAGATTATTGGATCTAATATTCTGTTGGTATAGTATGGTGGGGGCGGGGAATATAAAATTAACAGTTCTAACACAGCTTAAATGATGTTCACACTTATGAAAAGATAAACAAATAAAAACAAAAATTTGAAAGGATTATAAATATAAGAAATACAATGACAATAAAGTTTGATGTTGTAAGGGTGGAGGAAATGGTTTATTTAGTAGTGCGAAGAAGGTTGGTTAGTTAGTTAGTTCATGCCTGACAATATTTTCATCACATAAAGTACGTGCCGTCAAATATGGTATAGTGGAATTTTTATACTTAGACGTACGTGCATAAACTCTTCTGAAAAGACTTCTTGTTTTACATGAGGAGACACAAGGTCGGAGCTGCGGGTGGTATGGTGGGTGCTCAGAGTCTGACAAAATTCCTTTAGCAAATTTGTTGCATGACATCAAGTGCCTATCAGTGACAATGTCAACGATATGGCCCAATGGGATACCAGTCGTCCTACTGACAGTCTTCAGAGTAGTTTGTTTATTAGTTATATCACACAGTGAAACAGCATTATTTACTGGATGACAAGGTTTCGAACAAAATTTATTGTTCACAATCATATCAATTGTAATCACATGACTTTGAAACTTGAATTTTATAGTTTTCTTTGTCTTCTCCTATTTGTCTTCATAGGGTAGTAGAATTTTCCAGATATCAGGGACAGGTGATGAATCATTCCTACTACATGTATTTGCAGTTGATTCGATAAACAAAGCTTTTGTTATCAATCTCTCCCTATACCCTGTGACATTAGATTTTAAAACTGTCATCCTATCCCATCCTATTGTATGGTTGTGTGTAACGTCATGTAGTGCTATGGCTGAACTATTCTCTAGATTTCTTATCTTATTTGGGTCAACCAATCTAGATTTTGCTAGGTTTTTATGTTTAGCTAGTCTGGCTGCCCCTGTTCTACTAGTTTGACCTATGTATTTGACCTGACAATCATTGCAGACAGGGTATTAGATAAACTAAATTGTTTTGTTTTAAAGGCTCCACAGGATCCTTTAACCGACAAAGCTTGTTTCTAATTGAGTTTGTGGGTGGTGTGAATGCCAGCCACTTTTATTCCTGCTTGTATTGCTTCGAATTCTCCGTAAGGTGGTTCCAGAGGTGCCTTCCTTGTATGGAATTACTACTGATGAATTAGATTCCTTATTGTTAGTGTCGTCATTAAAATTAATATTATTATTATCATTATTATTGTTATCATTATTATTATTGTCATCATCACTATCGCTACTATTATTATTTATTTTATTTTTACATTTCTCTACATATTTCCTAACTAATTTATCCGGGTAATTATTAAATTTCAAGGCTTCTTTTATGTGTATCTCTTCCTGTCTTAGATTTTCCCTGGTACTACTTAGTTTTTGTGCTCTGTCACTTAAACATTTCATCAATCCTATTTTTACTGACATAGGATGGGATGATCGGAAATCCAAATATTTGTTTGAATGTGTGGGTTTTCTGTAAACACTAGTGTTTAACTTCTCATCTTCTTTCTTTTTTACGTTGCAATCTAACATTGGAAGTTCGCCTTCCTGACTTTCCAATTCATCAGAAGTGAATTGAATTGCCTCTACCTTCGAGTTGATGTGTTCGAAAAATCTATCTATGTCTTGTGTTCTAAGTACAGTGAATGTGTCATCTACATACCTCCACCATACTTTTGGGGTTGGGGTGAACGTTTCAATCGCTATGCTTTCCCACCTATCCATGAATATATCTGCTACAACCGGGGATATTGGTGATCCCATGGCAACTCTCTCAGTTTGTTTATATATTTTCCCTTAGAATTTAAATACTGTGGAAGTCAGGCATAGCTGCACTCCCAGCATTATGTCCTCAAGTGGCACTTTTTTCCTAAGTTCGAGTTCTTGGTCAGAATGGAGTTCATTTCTAACTGCCTCTATAGCCATATTTTTTGGTATACGTGTATATAAACTGACCACGTGAAAACTAACCATTTTTTCTTCATTACCTAGTTTTAAATGATTTTATTTGTGTTTTAGTTCATAAGAATTAGTTAGTCTAGATTTCGAGTGATCTTTTAGGGGATTTAATATCATGTTGTGTGGTTACAATTGATATGATTATGAGCAGTAAATTTTGTTCGAAACTGTGTCATCCAGTAAATAAATACTGTTTCACTGTGTGATATGTGTAATAAACAAACTAATATGGAGTTGCTTACTTTCACAGTGCTCAAGTTTTACACATATATTAATATGACAGTCTTCAGAGTTCTACGAAGTATGACATAGTCTTTTTTAAGCAATCCAGGAAAGAATAAGCAAGGGTAAACAGTAAAGAAGAATAGAATAAGGTAAATTAGATGTCAGTATTACTGTTCGGTATTCTGATTTACTCAACCGGGGAATAATCTCGTTGATTTGGAATATGCAGACGATATAGTCCTTCTAGGCGAAGACGCTGACGAAATGCAGAGTCTTCTAAACACCTTGAGCAGCAATCTACGAATGTTTGGCACGCGATTCTCTCCCACCAAATGCAAGATGATGTTACAGGACTGGACTACCCGGACTCCTAGTTTAGAAATAGGGTGTGAAGTGGTAGAACACGTTGACTGCTTCACTTACTTGGAAAGTACCATAAGCCCCAACGGGCTGATCTCTGACGAAATCTCAGCACGAATACAGGGGGCTCGTTTCGCATTTGCCAGTTTACGCCGACTCTGGCGTAGACGAGATGTTCGACTATCGACCAAAGGGCGGGTGTACTGCTCATCAGTCCGCTCCGTCCTTCTTTATGGTTGTGAGACCCGGCCACTGAGAGTGGAAGACATGAAAAGACTAGCTGTCTTTGATCATAGGTGCCTGCGTTCTATTTCCCGTGTAAAGTGGCATAATAAGATGAGCAACATTGAGGTTAGGCGTAGAGTTCTAGGTAAACAGGGGAAATCAATCGACGAGGTTATGAAGTTACATAGACTGAGATGGTTACGACATGTGTTACGTATGCCAAGCCATCGCCTCCCTCGACGAGCAATTTTAGCGGATATAGGGTCAGGCTGGAAAAAAGCTAGCGGCGGTCAAACAAAAACTTGGCACCAGTCAATGAAATCCACAACAGTTGGTCTAAGCCACGTAGAAAGGTGTAGACTTCCAGGCTGGGGTCCTCGGGACGATAAAAATCTATGGTTGGAAACAATTGGTGACATGGCTCAAAATCGTTCTCACTGGCTAGCGCAGATGCATCTACTCCTTGTGACTTATGATCTCCAATGAAACTGTTTTGTTTTTCTTTATTACTCCTTTGTCTCACACATCTGCTCACTGTTTCTATTATGCTTTTCTTGTACTTTCTTCCCTTGCTTCGCGTGCTACACGGAGTGTGGCGACTTGAACTTCCGCACATTTGTGTAAAGTTCTATGTCGAAAACAGACAGGCAGAGACAACAGGAGTTATTATTATTATTATTATTATTATTATTATTAAGATACAAACTTAGTACATTATGGACACCAAGAGATGTGTCACCGGAAATCTTATACGTTGTAAGAGGGCTTGGACGACGCTCACACCGTAGCGTATGAGTATCTTAAAAGGCCAGCGCCTCCGAGCATTTGACTTGTAAGAAACACGTCTGCCGCATGATGAAACCATATGTGACAGAGGCTGTGAAGGAGTATGTGGTCCCTTGGCAGCATTTCGAGAGGAGGATCGAAGTCGAATCATCCTTGGCCATACCAGGGAAGAAGGGGGAATCGGCATATATATATATATATATATATATATATATATATATATATATATGTTTAGCAGATAGATAGCAACGAGTGGGTTTTTAAATTATCATCTGATATACAATAAAAAAGGCTGTTAACAGCTGACAGTAAACAAAATTTATTACTCACTATACTGTGTCAGCGTAATGAAAAGAAGTCTATTGACAATTATTTGCATTATTTGACCCAGTGTATAGGAATATAATTCATGCGGTGTTATAGCATCACACAGATAATAGAATAGCACTCATTTTTAATGCAATATTTAAGTGGCTCGTATGAAATATGACAGACTACAGTTACAGAATTGTTGTAAGCCAGGGAGTACTGGGAAGCTGCTTCGTACTACTTTGTTGGGAACTCTTCATCGGCACAAGCCCGTGCGTGACTCTAACCCTTAGAGACAGATAGAACCTATGACCTTGATGTTCCATTCAGCCAATGGGATGGAATCCAGTAGCCCATGAATTCTACTTCCTGTTAATTAATTTACGGTGTGTGTGTGCGTCGGTGGCATAGCGGTTAAGACGCTCGCCGACCATGTACATGGTCCGGGGTTCGATCTCTGGCCACCGACACACTCCTTTACCTTGCTAAGCCAGTAATAAAGCTGGCAAAGAGGAAAGGTTGGATATGAGGCTAGCAACCCCATCCTGTAAAATAAACGTTGCTACAGAAACTTCAAGCCACTAGCTTGAAGCCCTATGTTCTACTGGGGAACGTGAAGGAAAGAAAAAAACTCAACCTCCAACTAATGTCATTAGTCTGCGTATTTCTCCTTACGCCCCAACTTGGTGAACTTCGCTGATGATGACTTCCCACTAAAATTTCAGCCAATTTTATCCTATAGTTAGTCACTACTGTGGGGTTTGATTGACATCAGGTTGGTATTCATGCTCCATTGGATTTCGTCCCAGTGGCTGAATGGTTGGAGGGGTGACTGTGTAACTTGAAGGTCGCGGTTGCGATCCTTGGTGGGTACATACATTGACAAAGTGTCCCAAGGGCAAAACAGCTTCCAGTACTCCTTCAGTTTCAATGGTTCTTTAATTGAAGGGAGTTGACAATAAGATATATATATATATATATATATATATATATATATATATATATATATATATATATATATATATATATATATATATATATATATATAATTCACTCTTTCTATTTTCAGTTCACTTGCATTTTTGCTTTTCTTTGCTGTAGACGATAAGTATTCTACGCGAAGAATGTACAAAACATGAAAAATCCGCTTTTTCACTTTTGGGACAACAAATCAAAGGGGGGGTTACCACCGGTAACAGTTCAGTAGATGAAACAGATGAACCGTCAGCTAAACGAAGCAGACATCGTACGTCGAGTAGAGAGAAACTGCCAGAAACACAGAGTCCCAATAGTAATAGTAATCCATCTATCCCGTATATCCCATTAGCTTTTATGCCAAATCAACCGTCATTTGCTTCAGCCACCTTATGTACACTGCGTTTCGATTTATTGATGAGTTTAAATGAGGCTAAGATAGATAGGCTATGCGTTCCGGATAGGATACATCGTTTTGTTTGGTGTTTAGATGCATGTGTACGGAATCGTAGAATTGATCAACGGCATGCTAGTGAATTAGCTTATCACTTACAGTTGCAACGTCGTCGATGGGCAAAAGAGGCAGCAGCAGCAGCAGTGGCTAACGAGAAACAAGAGGCGGTTCACGAAGAATCTGAACGCTGTCGTGGGAAAAATGCCAAAAGTTCGAAAAGTGGTCGTAAACGATCTCCTTCAAATTCTGCTGCAGAGAAGAATTGTGATGCAGGCGAAACAGGTAGTAGATTATGTGATGCAAATTTGTTAGAAAGGTAAGCAAGATTTATTTTTTTGTCCACGTATTTATTGTGTATTGTCCGTGTAATTGACTCAACAGTGGAACGTTTCTCCTGTATCCTTTTCTTGCTTCCCTTTGTCTGCAAATCCGGTGGACTGCATTGAAATATCGTGTAGAACTGGGATACACCACTCGTAGGTTTTTATTCTTTGTTTGACCATACAGTATTATTCTTTGCTAGGGAGTAATTAATATCATGCGTTCAGCCATTGTGTTGGGGCAGGCTAAATTCTATCAGTCTCTGAAGTCTTTTGACTGCATCGCAGGGTGACTCGGCTTCAAATCTCAGAAGGGATACGTGTCGCTTCAAGATTACACATACGCTTATCGTGCTGATTGGTGAATGCCAACAAGCATGAAACCCTGGGATCAAGGCTTCACAAGCCGATGCCTGCAACCATCGAAAATCAAGCCTTTTAATACTGAACTCATTTTCCCATCCCAGTGATTATAGCTGTCACTAGCACACCTTTTGTGAGTATGTAACATCAGCATATATATATATATATATATATATATATATATATATATATATATATCGATTTCTCTTATTTTGTTGTCTGTTGTATAATTTTTCAGAGATATGCATATGGCTTGTCGAGATCCATGGGTTGTATACACCATTTGTACCTCTTTGATTCGTTATGTATTGCATGGACTTTACGAAGATAAAGTACCTCGTGTAAGCTTTTATTTTATTTCATTACCGACTAATTAGCTTGTTTAAATGTTTTACATGTTTATTTTGTTTGCCGCCACAAACGATCTGGTACGGCTGACGTGTGTAGAAGAGAGGGCGACAGACTTCTTTCTTCTTCTTCTTCTCCTCAAAATATTCTTATGTGGTCACATCCTTTCATTGCCACCCCCAGGTAGGTAAATCCTATCGACTGCTTTAACGCGAGGCTGCAGAGGTATTCCCTTACAAAAGTGAAAAAACGAATCAGAATGTCTGACGTTTACAACTGAGTTCTTGGATATGCATGCCGGTCTACCCCCAGGGACGGGAGTTGGAGAACATTACACTCCAGACCTTCAGTGAACATAACGTATGAACGTGTTTTGTTCACCGGAAACCATTGGAACGCTGCTACAACTGTGTCGGTGGCACAGTGGTTAAGACGCTCACCGACCATGCACATAGTCTGGGGTTCGATCCCCGACTGACCGACACACTCCTTTACCTCGCTAAGTCAGTAATAAAGCTGGTAAAAAGGAAAGGTTAGGCATGAGGCTAGCAATCCTATCCTGTAAAAATAAACACCACTGCTACAGAAACTTCAAGTCTCTAGCTTGAAGCCGCCTATGTCCCACTGGGAAAGTGAGAGAATACAAAAAAGATTCACTCGACAATTGCAAATAGTAGAGGATAAAAGAGCTAGTTATTTTGCTGATATCATAGTAAGTAGTAGGTTCCATGCCCTTACATTATCTCTATCAAATAGAAAGCCGGCCAAATAGGTTGTCCTTGAGTTTCTGTTCATAATTGTACGAGCTAGCATTTAATCCTTTATTGTGGTGACTTCTAATCCTACCTGAGGAAATGCAGTGCGGGGAGAGTTGCGAGTTCAAATGTCTGTCGACTGTTATAGTAGTAACGACCTGACTTGATAGCATACTACATGCCTGCCTTACTGACAAACTTCAATACCCTTCGTACAGTCCTTATTGAGTAACCCAGGGAATAATGAGTTGGAGCAATAAAGAACAATAGGTGTAAGATGCAAGAGTTAACGAACTGCATACCTCTATAGGTTGAATGATTCTTTGATTCACATAACTTGTTAATGTATAAGGTTAGAATAAGGCGGAATATTTTCTTAAAAATCAACAAGACACGGAACGATGATAAAAGATAAGAGGAGAAAAACTATCCCAAAGTATTTGATAATGAAGTGATAGAACATGTTGACCACTTCACCTACTTGGGAAGTTGTATTAGCACCAACGGACTGATTGGCGATGAAATCTTAGCACGGATCCGAAAAGCTCGAGTTGCTTTCGCTGACTTACACCATCTCTGGCATAGGCGTGACATCCAGCTATCAACCAAGGGACGCGTGTACAGCTCATCAGTTCGCTCCGTCCTTCTCTATGGCTCTGAAACATGGCCAATACGAGTTGAAGACTTGAAAAGGTTGACTGCTTTCGATCATAGATGTCTGCGATCTTTGTCTCACGTTAGGTGGTTTCACAAGGTAAGTAATGTTGACGTTAGGCGTAGAGTGTTGGGCAAAGAGGGAAAATCAATCGACGAGGCTATAAAGTTACATAGACTAAGATGGCTAGGTCACGTGCTGCGCATGCCTAACCACCGCCTCCCCCGACGGGCATTGCTAGCTGATATAGGTTCAGGTTGGAAAAGAGCCAGTGGTGGCCAAACAAAAACATGGCATCAATCCATGAAATCCTTGACAGTTAAACTGAGTCAGGTAGGGAGATGCAGACTCCCGGGTTGGGGCCCTTGGGACTCTAGGAATCAATGGCTGGAGACAGTAGGTGACATGGCTCAAAATCGTTGTCAATGGCGCAGATGTATTCAGTCTCTGTAATCTTTCATATTCCTTTCTACAATTACCCATTCTGTTTCACTCTTATATTTGTCAAACTCTATTGATTCTCTTCACTCATCTTTTTGTCTACCTTGTGTGCCAATTGGAACGTGGCAACTCGAACTGCTGCACTTCGGTGCCAAGTTCTATGTTGAATCCAGACAGACAGACAGACAAAGTATTTGATGCTTAACCTCAATATTACAAGCATCATGTGAACGAATCAGCTCGTGTAGATCACAGTTGTGCTTGTTTGGCATTCGGAGGAAGGATTTAACGTAAAAGACCATTTATCTTAGACTACTGACTAATGACATCCTACAAAAAGCTATTCAGTTTGCAACAGTGAAGTTGGGAAGTCACTGATAACGAGACGGTCAGTTCACCAAAGTACTTAACGATGTGTTGGTTTCATCCAAAAGAGGTGAGTCGTGTAATAAGAAAGCAAAAACAGAAGAGCAGGAGAGAAAGAGGAGCTCTTTGAAGGACTCCAGCTCTAGTAGGCAAGGCAAGGCAGGGGAAGACTTGCCTTTGGATACAGTGCAAAATGAGCACGGAAATGCAGTGCCATCAGTGGTAAAGTTGGTAAAAGAGATAGAGCTAACCAGACAGGGTGGGAATTATAAAGACTCACAGTAAACTTATCTTGGTCTTTGTGGCCACTCTCTGTGGTATGAGTATGGTATGGTTCAAAAAATATATCGTTTCTGCCTAGCTAGCTAACTCAAGACGAAATTACCGCCTATAGGGGATGATTAAGTGCTTAGCACATCAATTACTAACATGCCTTGATGTATTACTTTCAATGGATTCGACTGAGTGAGAGAGTGGACCATTGGAAAACCAGCAGGGAGTACTACTGGACAGCTGTTTTCTGCTACTTTGAGATTCTTCATCGGCACCCACCCACCAGGAATCGAACTAAGGAGCAGCTTCCTGTTGTAAGGCGACCTTATTGACCGTTTGGCCACCGGAACTCAATCCAATGGTCAAGGAATTCCGGTTTCTGCTGATTGGTGATATGGTAGGATCGTTAACTCGTAGCTACCATATCTAATGTCTGCTCCCCCCCCACACACACCTGTTTGCCATATTTTCTTCATTCTTTGTACGTCGGTGGCACAGTGGATAGGACTCTCGCTGACCATGCACATGGTCCGAGGTTCGATCCCCTGCCGACGCACACCTGATATCTATGGTCGGCCTGCAAAATTTGGGCTACCGATATCTATGGTGAAAATTCCATACTTGTACCAAAAATACAGTGTGAAGTCAAGCTGTAATCAAAAGTAAAAAAAAAATATATTATCTTCAGTTTCTCCTGGTATCCACAGCTTTTGTTAATGATGGAACAGCATTTGTGAAGACTTTATTTAAGTTGAATAACAGGCCACATCAACTTGGCTGCATGGTATCATCTCTCTCGACTGCTGCTCATTTCCCCCTTTGTCAGTTATTTAGAGGAGGAGGATACTACTTCTCCTTTGTATGGAAGGATGAATAAAGACTTTCTTCTGATGATATTAGATGGTTAGAGGTAATCGGTTATAGGAAACCTTGGACCTAGGTTTCGTGCTAGTTGGCACTCACTAGTCAGCAGGGCGTATCTGCAACCTTGAAGGAACAACTCATATCCCTTCTGTGATTCGAACTGGGGTCATTCAGTGCTGCCTGCAGTCAGAGACGTTACCACTGAGCTATTCAGGCTCGCGACTGACCTCCTGTAGGACTGTAGTGGATATTTTAATTGGACACTAGGAACTAGTGTGATGTGTCTAGTCCTCTGATTGGTGTAGAAGTTAGTTCAGACGCTGTCCCTACCTTGTCCATCTAGGTTTGAATGATTCTCAATTTTCGTGAAAATTTCCTAATTTTAGTTGATATCCTACTCGCTATTATATCGTTATTACTATTATAATTTAAGTATTTTTAGTGAACTGTAATTGCATTGATATTGCTTTACAAATCGATATTATTTAAAAAACACTAATATTTTTATTAACTACCAACCTTGAATATTCTGTGTATATAAACATGTATATAATTGTAGAGCCAGAAAAGGAATTTATTGAAAAGAATATTCTTTGCTCGATTATGTTGTGTTTTATAGATATCTGAATTCTATCAGTCAGGTTGTAATGTAGCCACCATTCTAGGTAGCTCTCCATCATGGTGCACATTGATTTGATGATATTAGATAGTTGGAGGTAATCGGACGCAGGAAGCCTTGGACCTAGGTTTCGTGCTAGTTGGCACTCACTAGTTAGCAGGGCGTATCTGCAACCTTGAAGAAGTACTTTCTTCTTTTGATTTTATAATTTATCGCCTCGTATTCTCTTTCTTTTTTCATATCAGTTCAACTTCCCGCTGATGCACTCCCCTTAATTTATGCACCCTTTAGTAAGGCGTGACACATCTGCGGCTTTACCCCGTGAATAACAATTGCTACTGAAATTTCAAAGATGAAGGTTGAAAACCCCAATGTTCCATTGGGCTTACTAAATTAAGTTTACTGGGAGTGCATCGGCCGCCGGGAATCGAGCTTTGGACCACATGTAGAGGTCGCCGAGCATCCTACCCTTAAGCCACCTACGCACACTATGACTATTATTGTTATTATTATTATAACAACTATAAAAGGTATTCTTTTTCTTTCAGGATATACCAGAAGTTCACTTACTTGTTCATCTATTAGTGCTTGGTCTAGGCGATGATTTGGTTCCACATTATTGCTTACAATCTTCAAAAAGTAAAGAAACACATAGTGGTGGTAGTGGTAAGCGTAGTACACCGTCGTCTTCATCATCGATGTCAGCGTCGTCTTCAGATGATCCTGTATTAAACTGTCCAGCTAAGGCTCTTATCAGTTATATTCTACCAGCTGTTGCTCAGCTACAAGTTTCCACATGGAAAGCTCAAGTAGCTGAAGAAATCATAACTGCAAGTAATAGTGTATGGTCAACTGGTGTAGAAGTTTCAGGTGGGACTGTTTCAACATCCAGCCAACGACAATCATCGTCATCATCATCGTCGCATGAGTCGTCAAGAGAATCAATTAATCCACCGCCTCCCCCACCATTGGTTTGGCAGAAACGTATTAAAGGTAAATTATATTTATCTCTCGAACGTCTTGATTTTTTTATTTTGATTTTGATTTCAGCTTTACTCCACACCATATTTTTTGATATAGCTATGGAATTTTCAACATGTGATATCGGTAGCCTAAATTTTGCAGGCCGACCATAGATATCAGGTGGGCATCGGCGGGGGCTCGAACCCCGGACCATGTGCATGGTTGGCGGGAGTCCTAACCACTGTGCCACCGACGCACAACAATTAGTTTCAAGTATTGGTTTGTAGGGATTTGTTTGATTGGTTACAGGATTTCATCATGAACTGACATTGGTTAGAGAACCACTGGAAAACCTGGGAGTACTGGACGACCGTTTCGTCCTATTTTGGGACTTTTCATCAGTACGCATCAACACGGATTCGAACCCAGGACCTTCTAGTTACAAGGCGAGCTCGTATACCACTTAGCCACTGGGACTCGATCCAATGGCCAGCCCATGAATTCTAACTTCTGCCAATTCACGATATAGCGCAACCGCTAGCTAATGTCTTCAGCGAGTATTTGTCCTCACACCCGACCTGCTGCACGCCTTGTAACCAAAATGTCCTGGGTTCGAACCCGGTGGGTGCGTACTGCTGAAGAGTCCCAAACTAGGACGAAACAGCTGTCCAGTACTCCCAGGTTTTCCAATGGTTCTCTAATCAATGTCAGCTCATGATGAAATCCTTTAAACAATTAGTTTCCTTGATAAGTTTGAGTAAGACATTTAGAGGACAAATTTCGCTCGATGATATCTTCATTTCGAAGTTTCTCTACAATCACTTTACAACTAACATGGTTCACAATAAAATGAAATGCATGAAAAATACTCAGTTATATAAAACAATCCTATTTAAATAGGTTAAGTAGTCAGTGCATGGAAGGCGAAGGTTGAAGTCTATTGTTTTTTGTACACGTCCTGCACACGATCTCCTCCATGTCACCCTTGGATGTCCCACTCGCCGCTTCCCTTTCGGGTTCCACTCGAGCAATGGCCTGACGCGCGATGTCACCGAGCGGTCTCCTCAGCGAGTGTCCAATGTGTCATCTCCACTTCCTCCTGCATATTTGTTGGGCGATTGGTTCTTGTTTTGTTTGTTCTCATAGTTTCTTGTTGGTGATTCTTTCCGGCCCGGCCATCTGATCTTCAGTATAGAGCGAAGATAGTTGTTGCTGATGAAGGTCTGAGTTAGCCTGTTGGAAATATTCTTTGTGCCCCGCCCGCCAAGTTTCTGATCCGTATAGAAGAGCTGACTGAGTTGACGTTTGTATTGAAAATTCGACGGAATTTTGTTGTTGATGCTGCCTGAGTGACGAATATTTCCAGATTGGTTTCAGGTTGATGAATGTGTTTCTCGCCTTCTTGATTCTCTCCCGATTTGACATCGTCGTCCGTTCATCCTGTAGTTGAGACAATGCTCCGTAGATAAATGACTGAATGAACCTCTTCCAAATTCCTCCCGTTGATGGTGATTGGCGCTGGATGTTGTTGTTGTTGGTTGGTTATTTTCATAACCTCCGTCTTGTCTATGTTCACCTAGAGTCCTGTCTTCGCCGGCTACTTCTTTGACCAGTTTTTCGGTTTTCGATTGTAAGTTTTCGATTTCGTGTGACATCAAACATAAATCATCCACGCGCGAAATCCAGGTCTTCTAGGTTATTCACGTCGGTCCAGGATATCCCTGTCTTCTCGTTTCCCACTGCCTGACGCATAATGCAGTCAGTCCACCACAATTAAGGATATCATCGTGGGTGGTAATAAGCACCCTTGTCTGACTCCTGTGTTTACTCCAAACGCCTCGCCGAGTTTTCCATTGTGGATGACTTGACATGTGCCACCGTTGTCGCACAGCTGTTGAATAAGGTTGATGAATATTTGGGGTACGCCGTAGTACTCGAGTAGTTTCCAAATTACTTCGCGGTCAACGCTGTCGAAGGCCTTCTCAAAGTCTATAAAGTTGACGTTGAGGGAATAGTGATATCTATTCGTCCATGTTATTGTCTACTCTGTCCTTTTCTTTTATTATCTAACTTGTTATTTTTGTCTTCTCACTCTATTTTTTGAAAAATTCTAGATGCTACTCAATGTACCAGTATCAGTATACCGCCTGGTTATTTAGCCCATCCAATAGGCTATCTTATTCTACAATACCATTGTCTATTTTGTTTGGAGCGTAATGAATTGGCAACACTTCGTGCATTGTTAAAACTAGCTGTAACACTAGCACAAACACGTGGAAGTCGTGCTAGTAGTAGTGGAGGTGGTAGTAGTGGCAGCAGCGGCAGTCACAATAAGCCGACTACACCTAATCCGTCGTCGTCTGCGGCATCGTCGTCATCATCATCGTCAACGGCTGCTGCTGCTGCTGCCACGACACCAACAAAAGTTCATCATCATCATCAGCCAGACATACCAGTTTATAATAAATACGGTTTGTCTGTTGTGTTTCGTTGGCGTCCAGAGGTTTTACAGGTAGGTTGCTGAAGTTTTTTTTTAATTAAAAAAAATTTTTTTACTTGAATCCACTAAGTCTATGATGGCCCCCTTTCCTGCTATGTAATGTATCAATAAATTATTTTTATTGAGTGGTATTAAGCCCTGCTGTGAAAAAATTTCAGTACCTGTAGATGAATGACGCTTTGTGATAGGGGTAACCAGAGCCTATCATTTGATTAGACTGGAAAGGTGATCGAATCAAAAGTTGTCATCAGTCCAGAAAATCTTTGCAATCAGAAATCAGCCAGTGGTCCAAGGAAAACGGTTTAACCATAAACCCCTCTAAATGCCAAACAGTCAATTTCACCTTTAGGCATAAATCTGACCTAAACAAACTGGTTAGCACTCACGGGGTGTGCAACATAGCTGGTACTGAAATAGAAACCAGGTCGGAAATTAAATATCTAGGCGTCATTCTATCTGCTGATCTTTCCTGGTCGTCTCACATCTTGATGATTCCTAAGAAAATTTTCCCTCTTATCTTCTACATCAAGAAGTTAAGACATTCTGGAATAACCCAACCCTTACTCCTACAATTCATTAACTCTTGCATTCTGCCTATTATTCTCTATTGTTCCCCCTTAGTTTTTCCAGGGCTACTGAAGAAGGACTATACCTGATTACGTAGGGCGTTAAAAGTTGTCAGCAAAGTGGTAAGCAACGTGCCACTTAACCAGCTTGTTAATATTCTGGTTGAAAGGCATATGGACTCATGTGAAAAATGGGCTGAATCCATTCTATCTGTCTAACTCACACCACCCTCTTCATTCACAACTCTCCCCTTGTATCTCATCAGGCAGAACCAGAAGCGTATATATTAAACTATATGCTCGCACTACGAAGTACAAAAACTCAGTCATACCCTACTTAGCTCATTTTCTATGCGACAAAGAAGAAAGCATTAGGCGTGATACCTATAACTTATTAAATAGTAAGTAAAACAACTGGATCTCGTCTTTCCAACTCATATCATTTATAGGCACAACGTTTTCTTTCTCTGTTTTCTTTTTCTCTCCCTCTTTTTTGTTATGTGCTGTTTTGTTTCTTTCTTGCTTACTAACTCTACTAAAACATTCTTCTTCGTTCTTTCACACTCTGTATATCTCGACCTTTTATAAATATGCTAGCATCTACTTTTCTGACACCTTCAAATACCCTGTTCAATTTGAGCTTTGCTACCGACATGCCAATATATTGTTTGTCAAAACGAACTGAGATAACCCTTGATCTATGTAGAATTTTATTTATTGTTAATGTACTAACTGGATGCAATACTGTAGTAAAATGCTGAGAATTCCATTCTGTATCACAAGTAGTGTTTTGGAACAAAGCAAATTATTATTATTATTATTTGTTAGTTAGTTTGAGTGACGTAGGAAGGTGTAGGGTCTTCTAGATACTAAGCACCAATGGCTTCAGACTTTTGGAGATATATGGCTCAAAATCGTTCTCAGTTGCAAGGAAACAGTCGTCATTCTGAGTCGTGGTCTCCTTTATCCCCTCAAATTTCTGGTTATTATCGTTCTTTGAATCTTTTAACCTCGCTCTATCTTTTGTGTACATGGATGGTGGCAAGTTCTATGTTGAAACCTAGTCAGTCAGTCTGTCTGTTTGTCTGTCACTCATGCCCTCCTCTGTAATCGGTTGTCAAGTAGCTAATTACTTCAAAATAAAACTGGTTTAACACTTCATATTGATTTCTTACATGGTTAAATCATGAAACAAACCCATTTATTCATAAGTAAAACCACAGTTTTTTTGTTCAGCGAAGAAATTTCTTTTCAACGACTTCATTTTCAAGCCAACCGTACAGTTGTATTTATATTACAGAAAAAGGTTATTAAGTGGCACTAAATAATTGCTCAGTCAATATACATGTATATGTGATAAGAATAACGATAATTAAAATGTTATAAGGGATAGAGTTGAAGTGGATAAATTACAAAATTATTCAAGATTGTTTCATAAGTGAATTGATACCAAAATTTTTTATTTTAATGTCAAGTGTTGTCTAAAAAATTTTAAAATACTTAGGAGCACGATTACGATAAGAATGAAGATGTGAAGTGAAGTGGAAAGAATTCAAGTGGTAAAATAAAATAAAATAAAAACTAGAAAGAACATTACTATGACCAAGGTAAAGAAAGGGGTTTGACAAAACGTTTTTTGAACATATAATTTAGGTTTCTGTTCATGTATAGCTAAAGCTTCGGCTATGCATAAGTGCAGAAAACGTAAACTTTTGGATCGATTCGATTTTGCCATGTGTATAACTTTGAAAGATGAATCACGTGGGGCTAAATGACCAGGCTCTAACAGGTGATCACAAATAGACGACTTCGCAGTTCTACGTTCGCCTTTCATTAACCAAACCGGATAGTGTTCAGCTACACGTTTTCGGAGATTATGCTTACAACGTGCAATATAATCAGCTCCACAAGAACAGGTAAAAGAGTAAATGAACATAGATGTGGACATAAGCGTTAATCAATCCTTGACGCATTGTCTAATCATATTTCGGCTGGTAAAAACTAGTTGCAAGTCAGCTGCAGGAAAAGTGAGTTTAATACATTTAGATAAACGATTTTTAATCAAATCAGAAATGGAGTCACCTTTGAATACAAGACTCATAAACATTTTTTTTCATTGGCACTGTGGATTCTTTCTTGATGTTATGTTCAATAAACCTTGTAGGATATCCATTGTTAAGGAGATTTGATCGAAGGTTATCTAATTCCCTATCGATTGTCTCTGCAGAGCAGATTTTACGAATTCTGGTGCATAGGGAATGAATAAGATTTCTCTTTCTCCCTAAAGGTACCCAACTGTTGAAGTTAGTGTACTGCCCAGTGAATGCTGGCTTTCGGTAAATCGACCTTAACAGCGTTCCATTCTCTATTGTATCTGGCTAAACGTCAAGGAAGTGAAACGAGGAATTTAACTCTTCTTCGACGGTGAAAAGGAAAGATGGATGAGAACCATTAAATATTCCAAGATGTTCGGGAGTTGAAGAGTTTTCCTCACAGACAATGAATTTATCATCTATATATCCTTTATGCATAAACACTCTCCCGTTGGTTTCCTTTAGTGGGCCGTTCTCTGAGCTTGCAATGAAGACATCCTCATGGTGACTCCATCCCTTTGTAGATGACATCATTAAATCTAAATTGCACATTCATTGTGTATCTCAATAATAGTTGTTTCTGATATTCAGTTGGTAAGCCGATGTTCATGCTATTTAAATCGATATACTGGCATAGATAGCAGATAGTGTCTACTAGTGGTACATTTGTGAACAATGAACAAACATCTAACGAAATCATATGCTTACCAGTCACATTAATTTCATCAACACAACTGACGAAGTCAAAAATGTCGGAAAGACTATGTTTACATAGATTTAATCTAACTGGTTCCAGAATTTCCGCAAGCCATTTAGCGGTAGAGTGATACGGTGAGTTCAGCATATCCAATACAGGTCTCAGAGGGACATCATCTTTGTACACCTTTGGAAGACCATATAAACGAGGGATAGTGGAACCAGATGGTTTCAGCTGTTCATACATATATGGAGTAATAATGCATTCTTGCTTAAATTTCGTCAAAGTTTTTTTTTATAATTCCTTCTCAATATTCTCTGTCTTGTCTTTCTGATCAGGTGATGTTTGAAATTTTTCTTCATCACTAAGGATGGTACATAATTTATTGACGTGTAGTCATCACGATTAAGAATAACAATACATGATCCTTTGTCTGAACAAATCAGTATTATGTTTTTGTTGTTGTTCAGCAATTCATTAAGTTGTCTTTCGTGTTCTTTTGATAACATTTGTCCTTGTCTGCCTTGTGTTCTTTGGTACTGGTAATAACAATTAAGTAATGCAGATTTAGATTGTTCAACGTCTTCGCTAGACATTGGACGCAAGTTATGAGTTTGATTCATGAGATTTTCAAACTGAACTTTTGTTTCTAATTCGTTAACTCTGGACGAAAAAGTAGAGAACTTCAGACCAAGAGATAGTATTTGCATTTGAATATCCGACAAAGATATATTAGAATAGTTAAAAACGTATTTCTCTGACGATTCCGGAAACTTAAAGTGAGATTCGATTGTTTTGCAACTTTTTTGAGTATATTCATTCTAACATCTCCTGAAATATAATCCTCGAACAGGTTACATTCTCTCATTGTTAATTCAAACAGGAAATGCCTACGTTGAGATTTGTTATTCTCAAGTTCGGAAAGACATGTTTGTATGACATCGATCAGGTTCAACGCATGACGTTTAAGAGTTCAACTGAGCGATTATTTAGTACCACTTAATAACCTTTTCTGTAATATAAATAAATACGACTGTACAGTGTTGGCTTGAAAATGAAGTCGTTGAAAAGAAATTTTGACAAAAGAATCTACATGGCGTTTTACACTTAATAACTAACTGTTAGCTCTACATCGGTGTATGCCTTTTGTTTTGTTTTTCTAGGCTCTAGTTTTGGGAATTTCTCGTCTACCTCAATCTGCTCCTGCTTTTGTCGACAGCAATAGAAATACTCATGTGACTGAAGGTTCTGTTGAATCTTCTTTAACCGATGCTACTGGTCAGTCTGATTCAGATAATAATTCTAGCACTAATACGTCATCGACTTTAAATCGTAATAGTTCAATTGTGTCTAGTGTTGTATTGTCAGGTAGTGATTTGAGCAGTAGTCTAACAACTGGCTTTAATTCTAGTAGTAGTAGTTTAACGTTGAATTCTCAAAGTTCTACTGTTGATTCACATTCTACAACTCCTTTAGGCTCACTAGTTACTCGTGTTAATCTAGCTGGCCTTCTTCGATCTAGTTTACCCTTAGTTAATGATGTACAATTATTAACTCTTGCACAGATTGCCTTACTTATGCCTGGGCCAACTAGTAGTAGTGGGATAGTGAGTGCTGGTGCATCCAGTATTGCAGGCGGTGCTTCAACATATCCCTCATCTTCTGACAATGTCAGTGAATTAGCTTCACCAGCTCCGACTGTTTTAAGTGAACGTGAAAAAATTGTAAATACGCTGGCAAGACATTGTATTTTAACACCGACTGGTACAGCAACAGCGGCAACAACAACACCAGCAGCAGTCAATGATTCCAATTTATTGTATGAATCAACTGGATCACAAGCGGGTGGTGGTGGTATTTCAGCAAGTGGTGCTGCAAGTGGAAGTTATAAGTCAACAAATCCAAGAGTTCTAGCCGCTTTAGATGCCCTACGCAGAGATATTGAACGATGTCATGTAAGTTCTGTTAAGTGTGTGCCTTCTTTCTGTTTTTCTTTTTTTAAATGTTGTTGTGCCTTTTAACTCCATCACACATGCTGATCCCCCTTTGCTTCAAGTTTGAGCTGTGAAGTTTCACAGTTTCGGATGATTTTGTATTTTTAAGAAACTGGGCTCCCGCTCGCCACTCGCATAATCTGAAAGTCGTGAGTTCGAGTCTCACCCTGGGATATACATGGTTTGCTTCCATAACAGTGATTGAGTGAGTGACCTGAATCTCTTCTTGAAATGCTGTCATACGGGTCGAGCATTCGTAGCCTTTGTCAGGAAAGTCCTGTTCACTGCCGCCTTCATGCCTCGTGGTAGAGGAGGTGTTCCTCACAAAAGTGAGTGAGAAGGTGAATGTCAGCGTCTAGCGAGTACAATAGGACTAGTGGAGGGACATGCAAATCTTCAAGGCACTCTATTCAAACTCACGTAGTCGTGTAAGGGCTTATGGGGAATTGTCATCTGAATTGGTAACAACCAGTGGTGTCCGACAGGGATGTCCACTTTCCCCATTTCTGTTTAACTTCATCATAGATATGCTAATGGAAGTATCCTTAACTGAACGTAGTGACTTAGGAATCGACTTGTTACCAGGGAATAATCTAATGGACTTAGAATATACAGATGACATAGTCCTGTTAGGGGAGGATGCTGACAAAATGCAGAGTCTTCTGAACACCTTGAGCAGCAATCTTCGTATGTTTGGCATGCGATTCGCCCCTGCAAAATGTAAAATGCTGCTACAGGACTGGACCCGTCAATTCCTAACTTAGTGATAGGGAGTGAAGTGATAGAACATGTTGATCACTTCACCTATTTGGGAAGTTGTATTAGCACCAATGGACTGATTGGCGATGAAATCTTAGCACGGATCCGAAAAGCTCGAGCTGCTCTCGCTGACTTACACCATCTCTGGCGTAGGCGTGACATCCGGTTATCAACCAAGGGACGTGTGTACTGCTCATCAGTTCGCTCTGTCCTTCTCTATGGCTCTGAAACATGGCCAATACGCGTTGAAGACATGAAAAGGTTGACTGCTTTCGATCATAGATGTCTGCGATCTCTGTCTCACGTTAGGTGGTTTCACAAGATAAGTAATGTTGACGTTAGGCGTAGAGTGTTGGGCAAAGAGGGAAAATCAATCGACGAGGCTATAAAGTTACATAGACTAAGATGGCTAGGTCACGTGCTGCGCATGCCTAACCACCGCCTCCCCCGACGGGCATTGCTAGCTGATATAGGTTCAGGTTGGAAAAGAGCCAGTGGTGGCCAAACAAAAACATGGCATCAATCCATGAAATCCTTGACAGTTAAACTGAGTCAGGTAGGGAGATGCAGACTCCCGGGTTAGGGTCCTCGGGACTCTAGGAATCAATGGCTGGAGACAGTAGGTGACATGGCTCAAAATCGTTGTCAATGGCGCAGATGTATTCAGTCTCTGTAATCTTTCATATTCCTTTCTACAATTACCCATTCTGTTTCACTCTTATATTTGTCAAACTCTATTGATTCTCTTCACTCATCTTTTTGTCTACCTTGTGTGCCAATTGGAACGTGGCAACTCGAACTGCTGCACTTCGGTGCCAAGTTCTATGTTGAATCCAGACAGACAGACATGCAAATCTAGCTAGTGGAATGCGGGATTTGCAAAACTATGATTCCAAAACTTATGATGAATATGAGCTGCAGAGTCAGATAGGATGAAATGACATATGAAGCTGTCTTCGTCACCGTAAACTGTGGCAGTGTAGCTACTGACGCTGATCCACTTCCTTATTAGTCAGGCTTTTGAAGGTAAAGTCTTCTGGACAGTCTCTTAAGATAACCGTTCACTTCGGTGTAGACATTCGTGGGGAGTACCGCGGCCGTTGCACAAACTATGAGATTTTATGTGGAAAAAACTCGGGCCCCACAATGTACCACGTTTGTGTTTTTATATTTTGATAATACATTTACATGGTTGGGTCTGCTAGCGTCGCACTCAAACCTACCTCTCTCTTTAGTAGTCTCACTACTGATTGACTAGCTAATCAAGCTAGCTGTAGGTGTTTGTCCGTCGGTCGAAAGTCTAACACGTAACCGGATCGCTCCTTGACTCTCTCTTTCCCTCTCTGTGTGTCTCTCTCACTTGAAGATTAGGCTTTGTATCAAGGTAAAGAATTGGTTACTGGTTAATGACTGCTTCACAATCATCTCATCACATAACTCTAATTCAAGTTTGATTATTGAAGGTGATGATAGCACTCTTGGGATAAATCACATGCATCCTAAACTATGTGTACACAAAACAACTGACTTCAACCTTCACCTCCCATGAACTGACTACTTGACCTATTTAAATAGGATTGTTTTATATATGACTGAGTGATTGTCATGCAATTTATTTTATTTTATTATTGTGAACTAGGCTAGAGTTGTAAAGTGATTGTAGAGAAACTTCGAAATGAAGATATCATCGAACGAAATTTGTCCTCTAAATGTCTTACTCAAATTTATCAAGGAAACTAATTGTTTAAAGGATTTCATCATGAGCTGACATTGATTAGAGAACCATTGGAAAACCTGGGAGTACTGGACAGCTGTTTCGTCCTAGTTTGGGACTCTTCAGCAGTACGCACCCACGGGTTCAAACCCAGGAACTTCTGGTTACAAGGCGTGCAGCAGGTCGGGTGTGAGGACAAATACTCGCTGAAGACATTAGCTAGCGTTTGCTCTATATCGTGAATTGGCAGAAGTTAGAATTCATGCACTGGGTCCCAGTAGCTTATTGGTCTACGACCTCGCTACCCTTGTAACCAGAAGGTTCTGTGTTTGAACCCCGATGGCTACGTACTGATGAAAAGTCCCAAAGTAGGACGAAATGGTTGTCCAGTACTCCCAGGTTTTCTAGTGGTCCTGTAACTGATGTCAGCTCATGATGAACCTCTCCACCTAATAAGTATAAAACTAGGGCACTGTGGTAGAGTATAACTCTTTTATGGATAAGATTTTATTTTGATAAATCACACAGTGTTATACAGTAATATTAACTGATGATCAAGTTTCGAGCACAAACTATTGCTCATAATCATATCAAGTTGTCTAAAACAATCGTTCGCTGAAAGCCATCTTGTTTTGATTACACTCTGGGGATTTATGATTAATGGTGAGTTTGATTCGTTCTTTTGTGTGTGTATGCATGGAGTTATGCCTCCGTGGTTCATGTTCTGAAATTTCGACCAGTGCCTCATGGTGATTATGAAGCTCGCACTCCACCCACCATCGAGGTATTTGACCAGCCAGTTGGAGTATCACTAGCCTTCACAAATAATAGGCTTGGCTTATTACCAACTGGATGTGGAATTCCAAGTGGTTGTTGAGTAAGTAATAGCGTGTTTAACTCTCATTTATGTATGTGTATGTGTGTTTGGTAACCTATCTCTGAAGATAATTTAATGGTGTCTTTAAAACAAGCTGTTTATTGGATCGTATTTCTTATTGTCTTTATTCTCCTTTTTTTACTTTCACATTCAGAATTCGCTTGCATTACCACTGACGCCTACAAATTTAGTTGGTATTAAACCTGGCGGCTATAGTTCATCTAGCTCCTCGTCGTCATCAAATAATCTGTTTACAAATTTCAGTAGTTTTCAAATGCCAGATGCTTGGATCTCTCCATCTCCACGTAGTCCACAATCAAGTAGTAAATATTCACGTCCTACTGTCGATTCTATACAGTCGTCGGCAAATTCATCTGGCTATTCCACCTCCTACTCTTCCTCCTCTTCTTCATCATCTTATGGACTACACTTACCTATTGGAACACCCCTGACTAATCCCGGACTGATGGGTGCTACGCCTAGTCTAAGTAACCTACATGTTGGACAAAGTCAAGTGATGACATCTCGTAAACCTTCCCAGCCACCTCCTCCTCCTCTGAATCCTGGAGAGTTTCGAACTCCCTTATCACCGAATCCTTTTCATCAACAGAAAAGTAGTCACAACAGTAGGTTTGGTCCTGATTCCTCGTATGCTTCATGTCCATCTCCAGCTGTGCATCGATCATCGACATCTCAAGAGATGATGATGATTATTCCTAGATCTCCGTCGCCACCTTCTTAGTTGGTGAAATCAGATGTAATAGAATTAATTATTGAACATTTGTGTTTTTCATTTAGTAAGAAGATTGCTTGTTGTATTTCGTATATATATACATTCCTCTGTATATTAAAAGAAGCTTTTCTCTGAAATTAATATTGTCTTCTCGAATAAATTCATCGAAGAATTGTATCTGTAGCTTTCTGTCTTCTGCCTTTGAATTGTTCATCTGAAGTGGTGGCTGTTAGGGATGCCTTCTCTCTCCTCTACTGCTGCTTAATTTAAGCAACAAAAGGCTTGATTTATCACTACGATTTAGTCTCGTTGACTTAGATTATGCGGGTGATATATGCGGTCCTTCTAGCCGGAGAGGCTGGTAAAATTCAGAGTCTTCTAAACACGTAGAGCAGAAATCGTCAGTTGTGTATAGTTGTGTATCATTCCAAATGGACTGACTGATTGTTGGTGAAATCTGAGCACGGATACAAAATGCGCATGTCTCATTCGCCATCTTTGACAGAGATATGATATCCGGCTATCGATAAAGGCCGCCGACCCCACTACTGCTACACAAACTTTAAAGCTTAGCTTGAAGCCCTGTATTTCACTAGAAACGTAAGGGGAAAAATACTATATATGTATATTCTTGGAAAGTGGAAGACGAGACTAAAAAGCACACGTTTACTGCTGGAAGTACCAATTAACTAACAACGAAAGACCGACAAAACTCACTTCAATTATCCAGAGGCAGCATCCCTTCAACTACAGTCAGCCCTACGAATGAGGATATCGAAATTGGAATAGGAAAAGGAGGTCAAATATCCATCAATATGAAATCAGTTTGAAAAAAATCTCCTACTGTCAGTACAAAGAATGAAATTTGCATTTTCAACAATACCGTTAAGTCAGGCATTCTATTTAGATTCAAACCTTCACACTTCACGAAAACCGTTTCCAATCAGCCTTTGCACACTTTTGCCGACAGCTACCTTCCATCCATAGAAAGAATAACTAATAAGAGACTCTTGTAATTACCTAATCAACAACTTATTACCAGTGCAAATGTAGATGGATGAAGCATACTGCAAAGACGCTGGTGAGTGACATCGCACGCCAGTCGAGTGAAACTTGAATGAGAGACGGTAAGTTGGGCCTGATTCCAAGAGTGACATAAAAGAGATGGTGTGAGGAAGAGATGAGAGCCAGGTAAAGAGAAATCGGGGAAAAATAGGACAAAATAGAGATGTGTTGTTGTTGTTGTTGAAGCACAAGGTTCCACTCAGAACCCAAAGAAATAATAATCCTAATTGTATAAAGTAAAAGATTGTAACTTGTAGTACGTTTACTTGTTATTGGGCTTTATGAGTGCTAGAGAAATTTACATGCAGTGTTGAATGATAGAAACGAGTTTTTTCGTATGTTAAATATAAACAGTTTTGAGTTCTAAATAACTTGTAAATATTTTATGTATAACAACTGGGTGACAAGGTTTCCGGCGTAAATTATTGCTGTTCATAATTCATAGAAATCTGGTCACAGCGTTTTACAATTAGTCTTAACTGTATTTTTCTCTCTTTTTTCTGTGTCTCCAACTTCTTTTTATTGTTCATCGCCACATTCCATAGCCCCGGTATAGACGTTTCGTCATTCGGATTGCATGTGTTAGGTGTTGAATCGATAAACAAAGTCCCAGTGACTGACCTATACCTCCCGTGCCTAACTCTATTACTCTATTACTTTTAAACAGTCTCTTCTTAATACTCCCATCCTGTCATACCCTATTTTGTGATTACATGTAAGTGAATGCAGTGCAATGGTCAAGCATATTTCTAGGTTATTCAACTTGGCAGTGTCAATACGTAGTCTAGATTTAGCTGAATTGTAATGTTCCAATAATCTAGTTGATCCTGATCTTAGGTGCCTGCGCTCTATCTCCCGTGTGAAGTGGTATAATAAGGTGAGCAATATTGAGGTTAGGCGTTGAATGCTAGGTGGGGGGTGGGTGCCTTGCGCTGCGGGTTGGCCACCTCTCCGTACACCTCTTGAAATGCTCACATATGACCGGGCGTCTTACATAGCCTCTCCTGAGGAAGTCCTACTCACTGCCTTCACGTGGCGGATGTGTTTTTCACCGAAGTGAGAGGGCAAACGCGGATGCCCGGCGCTCTCCACCGGGTTGTCCATTGAATGACAGTCTAGGGGAGATGGGTAAACCCTGATTCCAAACCTCCAACGACTGGCGTATGAAGCTCACCGGCAGACGTATGGACAAAGGGCTTATTGGATGCCCTGGATGACTGGCCCCATTCAAAACGGCGAATGAACCGGACTCCGGTCACCGGCTGACAATGGATAGTGGACTCCCTACTCCACTCCTACTGCTTTGTAGGTCACACTTGGTTGTGTAAAGGCTAGAGCTGCACTCTCAAACAAAAGGCCGAGCGATTCTGGGGACATCACTCGTACCTAATTCCCATGAAACTTCATGAACTCTCTACAATATCAGCATCAGATCGCCGCGCCTGGGTAGCGATGATTCGAGATGTTCATGAAGCCGGTTCATCCTCCCGTAGGAGATAGCCGAAGTAAAGTAAAGTAAGTAAGCTAGGTAAGGCGGGAGGGGAAATCAATCGACGAGGCTGTCAAATTGCTTCGACTGAGATGGTTAGGACATGTGTTGCGTGTGCCTAGTCATCACCTTCCTCGAACGACGGACAATGTTAGCTGATATAGGGTCAGGCTGGAAAAGAGACAGTTAGTGGTGGTCAAACCAAAACATGGCACCTGTCAATGAAATCCACAGCAGTTAGTTTAAGCCAGCCATGTAGGAAGGTGTAGACTGGCTTCCTGGTTGGGGTCCTCAGGACGGTAAAAACCAGTGATTGAAAACAATTGATGATATGGCTCAAAATCGTTCTCAATGGCTGGTGCAGATGCATCCAATCCTTGTGACTTAAGATTTCCAATGAAACTATATTGTTCTTCGTTATTACTATTCCTTTGTCTCACCTCTGTTTACTGTCTCTATTATGCATTTCTTCTACTTTCTTCTCTTGCTTTGTGGGTTACACGGAGTGTGGCGACTTGAACTGGTGCATATAGGTGCAAAGTTTTATGTAGAAAACAGACAGACAGACAGTTGATCCTGATCTACTAGTTTTACCTATGTAATCAACCTCACAGTCATCAAATGGTATTTTGTGAATCACATTATTTTTCCTAATTGTATCTATTGGGTCCTCAAGCTGATACAGTTTATCTCTGAGAGAAGAGTTGGTTGGATGGTTTAGATTTTTACAAGGATAACACGTAATTAAAGATGAAGTAGTCAAAAAAAAATTAAATTAAAAAAATTAAAAAATCAAATTTCACCCTGATTCCAGCCTCACTGTGGCCTCTGACGTTCCTTCTTTATACGGTAGTACTACAAAGACTTTGAGTTCAATAGTATTTTCGTTATTCTCGTCGCTTTTATTGCTAATCAAAACAAGTGATTCAACAAAGAGACTCTTTTCAACGAATTTATCATCAAACTGTGCAGTCGTATATATGTGTTTATAGAAAGTTATATCCGGTGAGGGAATTGAATCATATTTGTGAATGCATTAATAATAATAATAATAATTTTTCCTTCACGTTCCCAGTGGAACATAGGGCTCCAAGCTAGTGGCTTGAAGTTTCTGTAGCAGTGTTTAATTTTTACAGGATGGGGTTGCTAGCCTCATGCCCAACCTTTCCTCTTTACCAGGATTATTTCTGGCTCAGTGAGGTAAAGGAGTGCGCCGGCCGGGGGTCGAACCCCGGACCATATGCATGGTCGGCAAACGTCCTAACCGCTATACCACCGACGCGTTGTGAATACATTAAATAATAATAGTAATAATATGCAATGCAATTAAAACTAAAATGTTTGTGATTGTAATCGTAGTTAAATGTCAAGTGGCAAAGCAAATTAATATTTTATATATAGAATAATTCATAGGATGGATACAACTTGAAAAAGGATGTGCAATTATAGGATTAGTAGACAAATCGAATAAAACAAAAACGTTACATAATATTGTGTAAAATTTATTAGCATAGAATTTATCGTTGTAAAAAAAGAATTGATTTAGAATGACAAGTGGAACAAGTGAAATAATACCGGGGACAGTTCAAAGTGAGAGTAGTAATAGTAACAATTGACGTAATAAGGAAGAGAATATAAATTGAATAGACAAAATGAAAAAAAATTGATAGAGCCCAAATATGATTGGGGATTACCATACTTTAGCACAGAGGGATTAAGACCATGAAAGTTGGAGGGGTTGAACGAACTTTTTCTGTACATAGAGATCTGGCTTTTCTGTTTCGATAGCCAAAGCTTCAGCAATACAGATGAGTCGGGTACGTAGGGTATATTACTCGTGGCCTCGTAGATGACTTTAAAGGCGGAGGCTATAGAGATAGGGTGATCATTGTCGACCAGATGTTCAATGATTGCGCTTCTTATTGCTCCACTTCCACTTTTTCGTTGCCATGCAGGATAGTGTTCTTGCACCCTCTTGGACAAAACTCGAGTCGAACAACCGATACACCTAGCTCCACAAGAGCAGGTGAATCGATAACACACACAGAGTTGGTCAATAGCGGGATCTTGTCCTTCAGGTTATTGAAGAGTAGTGGTCTACTAGTAAAGGCTATTCTCAGAGATGCAGCAGGGTATGTTCTTTTCAGGGACTGTGATATCCTTCGCTTCATGACATCGGAAGCTAAGTCCCTTTTGAATTCTAAGCTCATGTAAAGTATTTTCTCGGGTACGGTTGATAAGTCACGTTTTGTAGGCTTTGAATGTATATTCTTATCTATAAAACGTGGTGGAAATCCATTTTCTTTTAGGATTTTCCTGAAAATGTATAACTTATCTTCTACAGTATCAGTGCTACATATGCGCCAAATATGAGTGGCAAGCGACCGGACCAGGTTTCGTTTTCGACCAATGGGTACCCATGACAGTTTACGATAAATCGATCTCTTCAGAGTTCCATCGGTCCTCCTTGATAAGTTCACATTGAGGAAATGAATGCTAGACTCGTTCTCCATTTCGAGTGTGAATTTTATCGCAGGATGGCAATCATTAAATACATTTAATATATTATTCAAGTTACAATCACCATTACAAATAATAAAGGTGTCATCTACATACCTTTTATACATTTGAAAGCTTTGAATTATAGGCTTCAGCTGACCATTTTCTAGACCG